ATACCCAGAAAAGTAGTCTCTTTTACAAATTCTAATTTCTCATCATTCAATAATATGTCACATTCGCTGCTTTTAACATTTGGCAGAACAAATCTAATACATTTTGTCTTTTTATCGTTTAATACTAAATTATTTAATGTAAACCAATTTTGAACCTTCATTAAGGCGTTATTTACATCGTCATAATTATTTGTCCGTCTATTCATTTTAAAAACCAATGAAGTGTCATCAGCAAATAAAACCATATGTGGCTCATTTTGAAATAAATGGGGTAAGTCACTTATGTATGTTAAAAATAAGAATAGACCCAGTATCGAGCCCTGCGGTACACCCATAGATATGCTAGCACCCTGTGAGTTTATTTTTTTTATTTGTACTTTGAGTTGCCTATTCTGAAGGTATGATTTCAATAGATTTAGCGATACTCCTCGAATGCCATAATGTTCCAGTTTCAGCAATAATGTCTCATGCTCAACACAGTCAAATGCCTTAGATAGATCACAAAATATGCCAATGGCATCATGTGTCTCTTCCCACGAAGCGAAAATCCGCTTAATTAGCGCTACTCCCGCGTCCATAGATATGCTAGCACCCTGTGAGTTTATTTTGTTTATTTGTACTTTGAGTTGCCTATTCTGAAGGTATGATTTTAATAGATTTACCGATACTCCTCGAGTGCCATAATGTTCCAGTTTCAGCAATAATGTCTTATGCTCAACACAGTCAAATGCCTTCGATAGATCACAAAATATGCCAATGGCATCATGTGTCTCTTCTCACGAAGCGAAAATCCGCTTAATTAGCGCTACTCCCGCGTCAGTAGTGCAGCGACCTTTAGTGAACCCGTATTGTTGGTCATGGAAAATACCATTAATGTTAAAGTGACGTAGCATCTGGGTGAGCATTAGTCTTTCAAAAATTTTGCTAAGCACTGGTAAAATAGAGACCGGCCTATAGTTGTTGGGTTCTGCACTGTCACCGGATTTAAACAATGGAATCACTTTACTATGTTTCATTAAATCCGGGAAAATTCCTTGATCTATACCTTTATTAAAGATGAAAGCCAAATGAGGTGCTATAGTTTCTATAAAAGACCGACACATCCTAACCGACATTCCCTAGAGATCTTCAGTCGATTTAACTTTAATATCTTTAAACGCTTTAATGACTGCTTTCTGAGCATTCTGTAACATTGCTTTTAAGAAGCTCAACAGAGAGACATGGCGATAATTTTAACGTTTCCGTGGTTTTATGTGGTATATTTTTAAAGAAACTTTCAAATTCCTGTGCAACTTTTGAATTTGTACTGATACGTCCATTTTCAGTGTTTAAATTGAATTCGGCGTTACGTAATTTATTTCTACCTGTCTCGTTATTAATTATATTCCAGGTAGTTTTTATTTTGTTTTCCGCGGTCCTAATTTTATCACTAATATAAATTGCTTTAGCATGTTTACAAACTACCTAATTTAAATATTTTCGAATACTTGGAGACATATAAGTGAAAAGCCTCACTATTATTAAGTGGTTTCATACCGTAAAGCTCGAATAGCTTACCCCTACTTATAACGAATACCTGGTGTAGCCCAGTCACAGAATACAAACTTACATTGAATCGTTTTACGTTTTAAAGGGAACATTTTGTTAAACTGTGTTTTAATAATAGACAACAAGTTGGCATAAATTTCACTTGGGTTTTCGCTATCATGTACTTGGCCGCATAATTCATTTTTTAAGTTGTGATTTAATGACTCAACTTTTTTACTGGTGATTTGTCTAAACAGAACATCCCTTTTTAGTACAGTTGTGATACTAGTAAAATCTACTATCAGCCCACTGTGATCAGATGGTAATATATTCACAATGTCTTTATGTGAATAATTACAGTTACAAAAAACATTATCTATACATGTTGCCGAGGTGGAAGTTACTCGGATGGGTTGAAGAAAAACATTAGACAAATCAAATGATTTAAAGAGACTCAATAAGTTAGTACAATTAGAATTGCTTTCCAAGAGATCAACATTAAAATCGCCACATACTATGGTAAATTTACTATTGGAACACGTTTTCCGTAATACATCTTCCATTACTGAACTAAAAATATTCAGATTCTGCAAGTTAGGAGGTCTATAAACACATACCACAATATGCCTATCCAGCTCAACACAGGACAACTCAATTGTGTGCTCAATTGATAGTAATGCAATATCTTGCCTTACTTTATATTTTATTGAGTTTTTTACTAAGATCAGGCTACCACCATGTATCATTGTTTGACGATTATAACAGCTGCAAACACAATAGTTTTCAAAATGAATAGATTCTACCTGATAGTCCTTCAGCCAATGTTCAGTTATACAAATAATATCATACTGAAACTTTTCTAAAACCAATTCTATTTCAAGTAATTTTGATGAGCAGCCCTGTATATTCTGACTGAAAAGTGTCAACCACTTGTCTTGTTTATTCTTATGTGCTATATTTTTACATTTAGTCTTAAATATAGTGCCAGAATATACCTCATTATTAATATTATTTAGGATGGTATGTTCTGTTGTCTTACAATCTAGTTTAAACTAGAATTATTAGTTAAAGTTATGTTATTATAATTAAAATTTGTCATTGTACTGTTAGGTTGCCTAGACAGCACAAATTCGTCCCTACAGCTAGTTACTGTTATATTATTTATAACAATGTTAATATTAAATGCTATCAGCATAGCAATAGTGTGTCTATGTCTTTTTGAAAGGTATAATATACCTTTCTCTGTCAATTTAAAATCACTAATAAACTTATTAGTATCGAAAAATAAAAGTTTGTCACTATGACAACATGTCATTTGGTAATGTACTATTTAGTACACCAATGTGTTTATTTTTAGAGTGTGACAAAGAGTTAGAATAAGAGTTAGAATAATAATACTATAGGTACGTACTATATGTCGCGTTCCGCGCGCGCCTCAAAGTGCCATCAGACCACCACAGCTGGGGCCCAACAGGGCTGATGCCGATTCGGAGTCGCGGAGTAACGGGTTACTGGATGATTTTTAGTCATTAAGAGACTGACACTCCTGACACTGACAGGCCTCCCGCCTTACCTAGGCGGGACCAGTGATTCGATGATTTCCCCCCTTTAAAAAAAAAAGAAAAAGCTCATATTATAATGATGTAACTTAATGGCCACAAAATTGTACAGTAGGTATCTATTAACGTTTTAATGAATAATTTTGTATAGAACTTCTAACCTATCAGTGGGTGGGTAACGTATCAGTACTAATAATAGTTATTTTTTTCTTTTTAGTTTTGACTTTTTGTTTGTTATTAGTTTACGGTTTTTTGAAGTCGTTTTATTTAATGTGTGTATGTTATTTACTTTACTTCTTTATGGTCTGGTATGTACTACATGTACTCAAATATTTATGTGGGAAATATAAAGATGGGATCATTTTTGTCGTAGCTGGTATCATTTTTGCATCGTGTAAACCACAAGCCGCACGCACACATGCAAGAAATTTTGCAATGTCTGCCTGTCTCTAGCTAACCAGTTAGTACTTAAGCATTAAGTACAATTTAAAATAATTACGTATACCTACTACGTTGACGGTCGTCGAAGGAATGATCACCCTGGAGACGCCTTGTCGCACGAAATCGCATCGCAGCAATTCGTATCGTAATTTTTTGCCTTGTGAATTCGCATAGCATCGTATCGCAGTTTTTGGTACAAGCCCCATACCACAGTCGTCCAACGAAGACGTCTAGACATGGCAATCGTGCGGGGTGTGAAGGGCGAGACGCGGGTAGGCCGATCCCGAGCTGCGAACAAAACGATGTTAGTAGCTCGGGATTAGTCGGGATATATTATTCAGGGCTAACACGTGTTTGTTTTTACCGACTTCAAAAAAAGGAGGAGATGTGTTCTATGTTCGTTAGATTATTTCTTTTTTATGTATGTTTGCCGGTGCATGAAATGTACAATTTATCATCATGGGCGTCGTTTTCATGGTTTTCGAGGGTGGTGAAAATGATGGTGTTGCCAAAATGCAAATCCAAGATGGCCGCTGTCCAAAATTTTCTATTTATACTGGGTACCTATTTAGTTACAATTGTGAACTACGTATGTAAGTACCATCCAGTTCTGCAGTACCTGTAGATATCTATTTAAATGATTAGGTAGTGACATAAGTAAGTACCCAAGTACTTACCTACCTAAAAATAAAATGCAAAATGGTATAAACTTTAATGATAAACATTCAAATTACTAAGTTGGTAAGTGTAATTTGTTTACAATATTTGTGAGGCAATAACTAAATAGGTACCTAAATACCTATTTGCTTTAGTCTTTGACTGGCGGCAGAAAGCGTTGAAGGCAATTTTTCCGCTTAAAATGCACATACTTAATAATGTTGCGCATAAAACACTTGAAGGGTTAATCAGAGAGGAATGAATGTCTTAGTTTAGAACTGATTAACATTTGTTGGGGGAAGTGGAAGAAGAACACGTATTATATATATTGCGCAATTCCATAACTTGGGGTAAGGTCCCTATTAAATCTTCTATCTATCCTTATCATAAGGACAGCAGATATAAAGGCCATCTTACCCTAATTGCATACATCGTGCAGTAACTAAGCAGTGCAACAGCCAATACATTCGGAATGCCGATACCTAGTTAAGTATTTCAAAACTGTCCAATATTTCCTAATGAGATGATCTCATCTGAGATACACAACAGTCCCGTAAAGGATACGAAAATTAGTGTGCATACATACATATTATGTTTGTCAATTATTGGGCTTAGTCACCGCCGCCGCCACCACCGCACTCACAGCGTGCAGGGCGATGCGCAGCAAGAGACGCGGGCAAACAGACGCGTAGCGTGACGTGGTACGTGCGAGGCCACTCAGTGGCGCTCCGCCGTATCAGCGGCGCGGGCGCCGGCGCAGTGGCACGCGGCAGGCGCAGGCGCCGCCAGTCAGTGCCGCTCCGACAAACTGCCAGCATGGCGGCGCCCGCGCACGACGACCCGCCCGGACCGCATCCCGTCTCTGCCAGTAAGTCTTCTATCAGCACTTCTTGTACTCGTACTTATTCGTATTTAAGTGAACAGCACATTACTTTCATATACTAAGTGTCCTAAGTAAGTACCTCCGTGTTGGTACTAGGAGTGCTTTATGTTATTTACAAACAGAAGAGTCCTGGTGTCGAGAGATGCCTGGTGTCTCATAACCAGCCGTTGCGCGTTGACCAAGTGTCAACAGAAAATTTCAGTTCGGAGATTTTACAAGTACTCGCTCTTTTCATTGGAAAAGAACCAGGGACTATAAGTACATATACATACATTACCTATATTACCGACCTGCCTGCCCATCTATATCTATACATAAAATAAAACTGCACAAGTATAAATTCTGTACATTGAAAATTAATAGTGGGGGGTGTTACTAGATAGATACACAACTCACATGTGACTAAAAAAATGTCTGTATGTCTGTCTGTATGTTTACGCATCACGCAAAAACCACCGGCCCGATTACGATGAAACTTCGTAGGTATGATTATACTTTATTATCCTGTGCACAATGCTGGGTACTTATTATGCCGAAAAATTATACCCACGAAAAACAAACTTAATTGTGCGGCTCAATCTCTCGGCAACGGTACTTGTACCAAACGCAAATATAAGTTTGACGCATGTTAGGTTGCCCGCAGTGGACTTTACGCTGTAACTGTAGGGCCGATGGTTGAGATTAGCTTGAACATATATTACAAATAAAAAAAAATATATGAGGTTGTGAGTATGTTTGTTAGTTTAGTCACATAAAAACGGCTGAAGGGACCGGGGTGACATTTGGAAAACAGAGGTAGACTATGGCCTGGAGTAACACATAGGGTATTTTTTTACTCCGGGAACGCGGGCGAAGCCGCTGGCAGAAGCTAGTGTTATTAATAAAAGTATGGATCTAAGTACGAATCGAACATTTAGGACAGTACCGGTACCCGGCTGCCGGCGATAAAAATTGCACATCGGCACATGTATGTACATATTATTATTGACAATGGTTCTGAAAAGTACCAACCCGCATTGAGCAAGCGTGGTGATTAATGCTCAAACCTTCTCCGTGTGAGAAGAGGCTTTGTTCAGCAGTGGGCATTTATAGGCTGTTCATGAAATGAGATGGGTTCTGTAAAGACATCGAGAAAAATACTTTACAAGAATTATGAGAAGGGATTATATGGTTCACAGAACTTCTTACTTCTAACAGAAAAACATGATGTACTTAAATCTCAAACGAATGGAATACCTACCACCTCGATAAAACACACTGATTTTGTACGTTTAAATTTAGGTTCCTATATTCCCATTTGACGCAGTCAGGATACTTGTACAATACCTATCTTGCAAATGTGAAGTATTTGTCTTATGACCTGCCGTATGGACTGATACCGCTCCTTGTACTAGCTCAACTCGCATTGACCATATCTTTTCTATAACTTTTCTGGACGCGGCTTGTTATAAAATATCCGAAAAGCTGAAGAAATAGTGTTCATAACATGTGTGTCTTGTTCATATCGCCTTTACCTCAGATGGCATTAGCACACGATTGTGGAACAATTGATACACATCGGTAATTTGGTATCCACCAACTTTGCTAAGTAGGTAGGCTGTAGTGGGTACAGCCAGAGTCCTACAATGGTACATAGTAGGTACTACGACATGGTTTTTTAATTTCAGACATAAACTGTAACAATAAATGTGTCACTGTTTAGAAATTAAATAAACCTCGTGTACGTATGTAGTGTGCACCTACTTACATAATAATAGGCTCTGACGTCACTCCCAGTATTTGCAAAATTTATTGTTTATTTACATAGTACGCCATATACCCCGCCTCCGCCAAGTGGTGCACATTATTAAATTTGACATCCACTTATCAGCACTTATTTTAAAAATCCCATAAAGTCTTCATTCCTACTTCACTACCACATTCGTTGCTGTTATTGAATAAATCCCCGGGCGTACCGTACTCAGTAGCTGCGCGACACGTAGCAGATTCGATTCCCGCACGAAACAACGGTTCGGTATTTTTACGTGTTTCTCTTCTCAGAATAACCGACAGCTGATACGGAATACAAGAATGTTTGTTACTCTCTGAGGCAATAACTAGGTACTGACAGGATCGATATGATAGGGATAGAATATAGTCTATCCTATATAGAATAACACATGGGTCACATCATTTTTGTCCCTCGAGAGCACGGACGAAGCCGCCGGTAGAAGCTAGTTATATAATGTGTTAAATCAGTAGGTACGTTGTACACAGGCGCGTCGCGTCGTTCAGTGCTTGGATTTCAATCTTATCTGATCATTCTTTGATTTTGATTTATTTACTTTGATGTGAGTTTGATGGTAGGTGAATGGTAATCAGTACAGTATTTACTATTTAATCATAATTAGCGATCTACTTGATAGCAGGTATTTATATTTCCTATCTGTGGTGTGTGGTAGTGACAGTCCGGCATCGATCTGATCGATCACCGTGCCATGGAGTTGGTATCAGAGCCGGCGCGGCGAGCGGTGGCTGCTAAAGTATACTAGGTACTTGTTTGTAAAGTTGCCTAGTATACACATACTAGGTACCTGTTTTGAATTTATCAAATAAAGATAAAGCATCACATTTTTAATGTTATGCGATTAAATAGGGGGCCACTATGGTTTCCTGCGGCATATACTCAACAGTTTGATAATACATTGTACATTCCATCACACATTTCATTTCCCGATAAGATAGACAGAAGACAGGACCAGATGCAAATAAAACTTTATTTCAACTGAAACTTTAACATAAAACTTACATCTTTTTTATGAGACAAGTCCGCCCCAACCTCCCAAAACCGCTGCAACTCCTGTAACTCAAGATCTACAGTAGATACAGCCATGAATACACCGGCACACTGAAGTCCGGCGCGTCCCAGGCACTTGAATAACTGTCTTGAATCCCATAACGAAATAAATCAGAAGATAATAAGTAATAGAAGAGAAATAAAGAATACAAATATCTTTTAGCTCAAAATAGTTTCTGCCATTGCCAGCTGTTCCTCTGCGTCACACAATGAGTACCTACCCTACCTGGAATAACCTCCAGGTCGTAATGTAATTCATCAAAATCTGATTCACGTGTTGATTTTGGCGTGAATGGTTATGGGTGGAGTTAAATAATAACACTTTATTATTAATTTGTTTTTGGCAATAGAAAGTTATTGTATCCTGCTGTTTTATTATTTATCCTATAATCGGATTACTTTATTATCGACAGAAGTAAGATAATCTCGGGGACTCGTTAAGACAGTGGTATTTACTATCTTCGTAAAGCAGATTAATCAGAAGTCCTAATGTTTAGCCTTTAATACTAGCCGCGCACGTGATTTTATATCACTACACGTCAACTTTGATATTTCCAACCGACTTCAATAAAGAAACTGGATGCGGCAGTTCGATTCGACCTCACACCGAATATATACCTACACATCACACTTAAATGTCAAAGTTTCTTTGTTTGGATGTTTGTCCGCCAATCACGCTGAAACTACTGAACGGATTTTGATGAAATTTGGTATACAGGCTGACTAGGATATAGGATTTTTATCCCCATTTAATACTCCCATGGGATAAAACTTCATAAAACAGGAATTATATTCTACGCGTACGAAGTCGCAGGCAACAACTAGTAGTCTATACTAATATTATAAAGAGGAAAGATTTGTATTTTTGTATTTTTGTATGTTTGTAATGAATAAACTCAAAAACTACTGAACCGATTGCAATTATTTTTTCACCATTCGAAAGCTGCATTATTCAGAAGTAACATAGGCTATATAATATCACGCTAGGTCCTATAGTTGTGGAGCAGTAACCAAAAATGTTTTAAAAACGGGGGAAAAGTATCGTTTCTGAGGCCTTCCGTGGCGTGCGCTAAGCATATAGTTAAAATTATACAAAAATGTTCTATAGATGAATTGTTTATCTTAACATTATCTTTAAAAAAGTCCGCGAGAGCATATGTCTACCTTTTATAGTTTACCCATAACAATCGTTTTAATGAATGGTTCAATCCTTATAAAAGTTTGCTCTAGATAACTTTTGAATTGTTCAATCGGTTACCTTAAGACGCGACATCGACAACGGAGGGCAGGTCGCTAAAAAAAACTGAGAATAAATATAAATAAAACGTAAAACTATGTAAAAAATCTTAAGTCCCCCCGTGCGAAGCCGGGACGGGCCGCTAGTACATACATAAAACGCTTGTATGTAAACGCAACGCTCCCGAAACGCTGACAAAAAGAAATACCTACGCTTATTTATGTTTGTTTTAACTTCGACGTTCATTATCCATTTTTTATATTACGCCAGGAGTACCTAATCCCATGATGCGGAAATCGGATTCTGATAAAACAATCTTAGTTCTAGTGAACTTGTAAATTAAATCAATACTAACATTAGGCTCAGTTGTACTACTAACACATACGGATGTTTATTTGAAAAGAATTATTTGAATTTATCGAAAGTTCATTTGTTTTATATTAAGTAATTATTGTATTAAAATTTCTTGAAAGTTAGGAATCTATTTGTGATGGTGCCGAAAGACAGCCGGAGGAACACCTCAACGATTTACCGCAGGCTTGAAAGCAAAAATGATAAATCGCTATTGTATTGCTCGTTCTTAAACTATATGTAAGCTTGTTTTGTGCAGTGCACTGGTGCAGCTGCGAAGCGTGCGGGCACGGCTGCGGAGAGGCGCGCGGCGCGGACCGCGGCCGCGACGAGGCGCCGGGCGGGGACGACCTGTGGCGCGTGGCGCTGGCCGAGTGCGCGGCCACCTCGCTGCTGGTGCTGCTGACGTGCACCGCGACCTGCGCGCCCTCTGCCGCCGCCTCGCCGCTGCAGCGCTCGATCGCCTCCGGTTTCGTCGTCGCCTTGCTCGTACAGGTACGCTCACACACATCATACAAATACGTTCGTAGCATGTCCAACTCGAACAAATTTCTAGTCACTACTGAAATACCACCCGACTACCGTTTTTACGAACGCAGCCCTACTATCGTAGGCCCTTAGAGCGTCGTGCAACTCGTGAGTATATTTACACACATATAAATTCACCTCATATACACCGCATTCGACTCGTGTGTGCAGTGCCTGGCGCACGTGTCGGGAGCTCAGATGAACCCGACGGTGACGTTGGCAGCACTAGTATGGGGCCGCATGTCGCGGCGGCGCGCGGCGTGCGAGATGCTGGCGCAGCTGGCGGGCGCGGTGCTGGGCGCCGCCGCACTGCGCGCGCTGCTGGGGCTGCGCGCCGCCGAGACCTGCGCTACCGTCCCCGTCGCAATCATCGGGCCCTTCCAGGCGAGTGGCCAACTTTCTAACAGCTAAGTTACAATAACGAAACTGATCACTTAATGATCTATGTATCTTTAAAAGGTAATCGGTTCAAGACGTCGGTTGTCAAAAATTCTCACTTTCCTTGGAGCTGGCGACTATAGCGGGTTTAGGACCTGTATGACAGGCTGTCACTATTTTATGAAAATTGACATAATTAAAGTAACTTTTATACCTATCTTGATCATTGCCTAACTAGCCTATGAGTAATAACATGATTATCTATTTTTCAGCCCTCTTCTATAAGCCGTATACCCTCTCTCTCTCTCTCTCTCACTCTCTCTCTCTCTCTCTCTCTCTCTCTCTCTCTCTCTCTTTCTCACTGTCACTTGTATTGACAACAGAAGTGCATACGCACATAAGCACGTACCGAGTCCTACGTACATACTTAGATATATTATATTTAAATACTTCCTTAAATAGTATTGTTTAATACAGGTAGGTATGTTTTTTATTGATACCTAGTGATATTTTCGGAAATGGCGTAAATCACGGAACTGTTTTCTTGAGCAAATACTGTGTGTTTTTCCACATACATAATCTATTACCTAACTGTTTTGTTTTAATGCAAAACAGTTTCATTTTTATGCAAAAAGAGTTTACTAATAATACTTCATTACATTTGAGAAGTGTCTATGAATTTTGATGGATAAAGTTTATAGAGTAAGGTAAGTTGTAGTTATGATAAAATCGTTTTACATGTGGAATTCATCTTTTAGATAATTCAATCAATATTTTATAATGATTTTATCACAACTCTTGAAACTGAAACTAACATTCGCGTGCACTAGTGTATAGCTGTACACGAGGATATTATGGAAAGTATGGCAGCATGGTGGAGATGTAAATGGTGACGTTGCAGGCGGTGGCGGTGGAGGCGGTGCTGGGCGGCTGCCTGGCGCTGGCCAACTGCGCGGCGTGGGACGCGCGCACCGCCGCACTCAAGGACTCCTGGCCGCTGCGCATCGGTGTCTCTGTCGCCGGCCTGTCGCTCGTCGGCGTCAGTACCGCCTCGCTTGCTGACAGTGTTGGATAGTGCACTGCTGTACGACCTCACGTCGAGCTCTGTGTTGCAGGGCGAGCTGACGGGCGCCAGCATGAACCCAGTGCGGAGCTTCGGCCCGGCGCTGTGGAGTTCCACCTGGACGAGTCACTGGGTAACACCAACTATATACGACTAGCTTCTTCAGCACGGTTTCATTCGTAACTAATCTATCCTAAGCTTTTTTTTTGACCCTGGGAAAATACTTTATGTATCATCCTCCCGTGGGGGGACGGGAGGGATATGTGGGACTCTCCGGGAGAAGCCATAGGCATACCCACCAAAAACCCAGGAGCACACCACCGTCGCCATGTGAGGGGGTCTGGGAGACCGGTTGAACCTTTACGACCAGGACCCCCTCGGCTAAGCCTGCCAGAGATGGCGGGCCATATTCACACCCTGTGTTGGGGAGGGGTTTCGGGAACGGTCATGTGCCAACCGTTCCCGTCCCGCGAAAGGTGAGTAGTGCAATGCGGATGCAGGCGCCCCCGCGCCTAGCACCCGCTACTCACCCCCGGAAAGGATAAGGCGGTTGTATTGCCGTCTTCTCCTTCCGACTCTTCGTCGTCGGAGCGCTGGAGCGAGGGCGTCTTCCTCTCGCTCACGCTCTGCCGCCTCCTTCTGCGATATTACGCATTCGCAGAAGGAGGCGACCGCCGCCCATGTTTCTTCGCTCCCCAACATTGCGCGTACTACGCAGGGGAGTGAGAGGTCTTGTCCGACCACCGCGACCAGGTTCAGGCGCGGCTCGGACCACGATGGGCACTCTTCGAGTGTGTGCCGCAACGTGTTCTCTGTCGCACCACAATGGTGGCACGACGGGTTCTCCTCTCGTCCGATGCGGTGCAGGTACGACCCAAGACAACCATGACCTGTCATCACCTGCACCAGACGGAAGGAGAGAAAGCCGAACGGCCGCTCGAGCCAGGTCTGAAGGACCGGCCTGATAGTGCCCAGCGTCCGTCGACCAAAGACTGCGGCAGCGAGGTCGTCCGCCCAATGCAGGACGATGGCCTTCTTGGCCTCCTGCCGCACTGTTTCCCGGACCTCACGAGCCGGGCGCTCTCCTGGCGCCCTCCGCTCCGCCGTCCACTCATGCACTCTGGCGAGCACCCACGCTTCGAGCTCCCAAGGGGGAGTGCCCACTGTGCGGTAGGCCCGCGCCACCCGCTTGGAATCTAACCTAACCTAACAAGTTCAATCAGAAAGACTCTTCATCTTTATAATAACGGTAATCTGTATAATGACGGTACTCAACGAGTTAAATAAAACTGGCTACTCCCACGCGGTTTCACCCACTCCATGGCTCCTTTTTTTTTCAAATACCTATCCTAATCCTACAATAGAATTTTCTCCTGTGTCGTGCTTGCGTTTACAAAAATACAATTTCACATACACATGCCACCCAGAACCGAAATAACAATTTGTGGATCACACTTTAGGGAACAGAGAGTATAGTTCCCTAAGATCGGAAAAGGAGGTTCCTCCGACCAGGCGAGGTGATCGTGCCTGGCGGGCTTTCTGCCCAACAGTTGTTCGTTGGGATTTTCTATCTGTGTTTATTCGTTTGTAAACTTTGCATGTGCGATGTAGGATTCTTGTGACGTCATCCGTTGACATGTGGCATGCGTCGCCACATCACTCCCTCCTAAGACCGGAGGTCGATCCCGCTGAGACGGCTGTCGATGCTTGAGATGAGTGGCGCCAGAGCCAGTGTAGAACGTCCCTAGTTCCAGTGGGTCGGAACCGTGCCGCTGTGTGCCCAGTGAGTCGGGTCAGCGGTGCAGGGTGAAACTCCAGTGAGTCGGAGAGATGAGTTCGCAGTGTCCCACGGTGAGTCGGGGAAGAGATGCTGCGAGGGTAGGTGCGTAGTGGCCGGCATCTGCGTTGACAGGAGGAGATGTCCTTCAGAACCGTGTGCAGAAATGCTGTGCCTAGACGCTGGTGAGGCCGTAGGGAAGAACCAGGCTGCACAACTTCGTTGCAGGTAATGGTGGTCCCTGATGAGGCCGAGGATGCTGGTTGGCTGCGACTTGATTACCGCTCAGCGGAGAAGTGATGAATGAGAGGGATGGCGATACGGATGACGGTGCTAATCTGCTCCGTGAAGTGAAGGTTGTTTCCAATCACGTCGGGGTCACCACTTTAGGGAACAGAGAGTATAGTTCCCTAAGATCGGAAAAGGAGGTTCCTCCGACCAGGCGAGGTGATCGTGCCTGGCGGGCTTTCTGCCCAACAGTTGTTCGTTGGGATTTTCTATCTGTGTTTATTCGTTTGTAAACTTTGCATGTGCGATGTAGGATTCTTGTGACGTCATCCGTTGACATGTGGCATGCGTCGCCACAACACAAAGAGCTACTCCGTTCGGGAATCGCGCCCGGTACATGGTACGGACCAACTGTAGTTAGTCAGTCTGTTGGTCACTGCGTGGTGCGATATAGTCTTCCTCGATAAATGCACTATCCAACACAAACGAATTACTTAAATCGAACCAGAACTTCCTGAGATTAGTGAACAAGTAAACTCTTCAGCTTTATATATATTAGTACCTAAGTATTGGTATACATATAATCATATACAAGTATAGTTTAGTACCTATTAGGGAACCTACTTACTGTAATCACCCAACCATGCAGAAGTCTAGAATTCAGATCTAAATCAGTTAAGACTTAATCTATGATTGAACAACATGGGTACACCGTACAAGTTAGCTCAGGTAACAGTTTTCAGGTAATAATTACCTAGTAGCTACTAATTATTCAGGCCGTATAGACTTATCTATGTATCAGTCACATTCAGGTATGAATAAGCCGGCTAGACCAGATTTATATATACAGATACATACAGTAGCAACATCCTTTTCCTTCATCATCCGGCATCATTTCACTGGTGTAGGCATTCTGTATCTCTGGGTAAATGAAGTTAATTATTTTGACTTTATTTAGCCAGCTTTCTTGATATGTAAACTTCAAATATCAATCAATTATGTACGTAATTATGTGCAAACATTGGTCGAGGTGCCCACTTGTCGAGCTGTGAAGTAACGCGGTGGGCTGGTGTTCCAGGTGTACTGGGTGGGCCCGCTCGGTGGGTCCGTGCTGTTCACGAGCGTGTACCTGCACGCTTGGCGCCCCGCCACCGCGGCGCCGCGCAAGCTGCCGGTGCAGCCCTAGTCCGGCCGACGCCTGGCGCCCGACACGTCGACTCGCCGCGTCCGCATCGCCCTCAAGCTGCCGGTGCAGCTCTATTCCGCCTAGCGCCCCCGTGAGCGAATTGCGCATGTGCGGGTAAAACATTGGCTCAAACATTACTCCAAGGCGGAGGTATTTCTGGGCGGGGCCCGTAGCCGTAGCCGTAGCCGTAGCCGCTGCTACGCTATGGCTACGTGATTGTTACTGTATTGGCAGACACGGTGTCCCGTTACTCGTTATGTTTGTGTGTTCTGAACTATTCAACTTTTGTACTTAAATTGTAAATATACACAATAAGGCTTTGATTGAATTTTTCATCAATAGAAAGAAAGCAAGAAGAAACAAAAACCATTTACTTGACGATATTTGTCGAAGAGACAAAATTGTATAGTTAATGTTGGCTCAAGGAAGACATACTTCATATATGTCTTTTTGAAAATCATAGAATGCGGATTCATTTGGAGGTATCGAACATAATCATGGCACCTTCGATAGGATTCCTTTGTGATTGTAATTGTACCTACTTGTTGTATTTCTTACTGCAAGTGTGGAGCTGAACATGTCCAGGGAACCGCAGTCACGGACTTTGTTTTAATGAAAATGTTTAACAAATATATGCAAAGAATAGTTCTTTGAGATTGAAGATAAATAAAGTAACTCCAAATGAATCAGCCTTTATACCGTGGAGATATCAATGTGTTATAGTTTTATTAATTGCAATTATACCTTGCTTAAGTACTACCAGATTTATTTATTTATTGAAGTTATTGAACCAATTGATATTTAACCAATTGCTTATTCACGGCCCACGGGCATGTACCCGCGTGGCTGACTGCTTCGCTTGATGGCAGGATAGGATGGAAATGAGTTTCATGTTTTTACAAAATGCAAACGTTCATAATTTTGCCAACATTACATTATACATATCAAACTGTTTCAGATTAAAATGTATCAAAATCTTGTACATATTAAGTGCTGTGAATAGTATTTTAAGTAGTTTAGTGAATGGTTTATTCTGCATTGGCTCGCTCCGAGTTTTATGGCTATTTGCATCAACCACCCCATAACCAAATCAAAAAAAATAAAAAATCAAAAAAATGTTTATTTCGTTATTACACGTTAACTCGTCGAGTACCGTATTTATAGACACAATTAAAGAACAATAGGTTGCGGTCACCGGTGACCGCTTGGTGTTTGACAGTTTAATACAAAGTTACACACACAGTTGGTGGCGTCCCCTTTTAAGCATATAAATGCCTGTACCAGGAGGCGCCGCTCTTTTATATCATACAAGTGTAATACGTTACAATAGTGAAAATGAATAATTGAAAGTCTAGTTATATCATAAGTCTGTTGGTGTGTGTGTGTGTGTGTGTGTGTGATAACCACCTCTTAACTAACACTTAGCGTGACGGAACATTTCAACTGACTCCTTACTTGACCTATTATGGAGAGGTGAAAACCAAAATATCGTTTTGCTTTTCGGTATGAGGTTACTTACAACTGACTCTTCGCGGATTCGGTTTTGTTATCCACAATATGCGTGAATTTGATAATCCTAATATGAATAGTACCAAACTGGAGACAGCATCTATTGCATGGAATCCTCATGAGAGTATTTATTCTTTATTGCTGGAGAAAGTGCAAAAAGCATTTCTTAGATTTCTGTACAAAAAGCTATTTGGTAACTATCCATTCTTATATCCCACCAAGTTTTTATTGGGCATGTTAAATTTTAATTTTTTGGTAGTGAGGAGGTAGAAATAATAAGAGAGTAATTTACTCTCTTATTATTTCTACCTGTAGTACAATCTGACTGTTCGGAGCTGGTGGCTCAGATGGTACGGTTGTTTGTGCCCGCAGTTCTAAAGCATCAGCTTATGCCACGTAGGCACCCCTTACTGGCTGTCCCAGTAACGCAAACAGTCGCGCATGCAGATTCTCCGCTTGTTCGAGCATTAACGAGATCAATGCTTTCTTGGCATCCGCACCAGAGTGTGATTACTTGGCAGAGAGATGGAAGGATGAATGTGTAAGATGAATAAGATGATGGACGGCTGATGAATAAGTTTTAAGTAATTATATATAATTATTGTACTTTTTATACCTATTACATAAGTGTAAAGTAGCAAATAAGTATTTCTTATTATTTAACTGTATAATGTTTTGGCTTGTACTGTAAAATTATGCATGAGCTTGTGAATAAATAAATAAATCGTTGAATGTCACCTACCTTAGCTTAGAGATTCCTTAAATACTTAATACGAGAGATAAGAAGAAAAAGGACATTAGTAAAATATTTTAAGAAATGAATTCTGCGGTGCTTTAGTTATTCGTAATGTTTATTAAGGATTCAGCTCGGCTTGAGATCAGCAAGTCATAAATGTAGATATAGTCCGTCAATGTAGTTAGGTGTTCCTAGGAGTTCCTAAAATAACGTTACTTATATGTATTTACAATTATAACTAACTTGATTTGGGAGTTGTGTTTTATAATTAGGTACCTTAGGTGGCCGAAGCGTTACTCAAGTGGAAAATACTTATAATATGAAACTAGCTAAAGCAAATCCGTTAAAATGTTAGACTGACAACTATTGATGAAGGAAAGAGGTATGTGTAACAATTGGCGTTTCATAGTCTCTGCCTCCCCCATGGGAGATAGAGGCGTGAGGTTATGTATGTATGTAATTATTTTCTTATTTTTACATTTCATGTAGATGAGTATTGTAGAACATTCATATTAACTTGATATCTTATATAAAATTATACTAATTGTTGTTCGTTAGTCTCGCTAGAAAGCGACAATGGCTTGACCGTTTTGGTGGTTAATTTTGATCTTGAATCTAAGTCCAGGGAAGGTTCAAATTCAATGTTTGCCGAGGCAGCTAGTAAGCAACTAATACAAGTTCTATGTATCATGTATGTGGTGAATACCAACGGATATACTACGCTATCTTTTCTCTTAAAAACATTACTCTACTTCAGGATTTGTTTCTATGTCGTTCTTTCCATTTCTATCGCCATCAGAATATTGCAAGGGCATGTGATTTACACATGTATACAAAATTTCAGCTCAATTTGTAAGTATATAGCCTAGAACTGAAGCAAACTGTTGCACGTAATCTCAAAGTCAAAGCATTTATTTCAATTAAACCATGATTTGGTACTTTTGAAACGTCAACAAATACATCATAAATAGGTACATAATAGTCTGTCAGTCAGTCCGTCAGTGAAGCTAGTTGAAGGTAGGTGCTTCCACACATTCCAAAATGTAGATTCGAATGGAGAAGAACGAGCAAGAAACTCCATTTGATACACTTTTTAAGAAAAGTATGTTCTACAATGTCTCTGATACATATTCTAATACAATTTTATTATGGATTAAGTATACCAGCTGTGATCATTAAGTACTTTATATTTTGTTATGGGTTTGTGGCACCAACTTCTAACCTAGCAGTGGGTGTGTGAACTATAAGTACGTATGACTAATAATAGTTATTTTTTTCCTTTTTAGTTTTTACTTTTCGTTTGTCTTCAGTTTTTGAAGTCGGTTTTTTAAATGCAGTTTAGAAACGGCGTAAATTTCCGATAATAGGGCTGACGTTTTCCTCTTAGGAAAAAAGCCCTTCTTATTAAATTAAGATTAAAAAAACGGCGTATGTTACATATTGCTCGGATAGCCCGCTTTTGTAGAATAAAAATTGATTCTATTTCTGCAGCTCGACCCCACAACAAAATGCCGTAAGTACGACATAGTGGGTACAGTGGAAATAACTAAAATAGACGATCCTTGCTGTATCTACGTCTGTAAGCTGTCTAATCTGTCTAACTGCAAAAGCAGCTGAGCTCAATCTCCCCGTAAGCGGTTTTATATGCGGACTTCCATATGCAGTTCGTGGGTTCGATCCATACGGAACAACTCTTTGTAGGATCCACAAGGTGCCGTCCTGGGTTGGGTACGATCAGGCTTGGATCAGGATTAAAAATATTAATTTGGCTTTTACTGGAATTCTCCTTTAGAATTTATTTAGTTCAGTAGTACACATATATAGTAACATAATTTAGTTCAGTAGTATATAGAATGACGTGACGTTCCGACTCATTTTATATTCCAGTAATCTCACAAGAACAGTAATGGGATAAAAAAACTGTCTGTATTTTAAACCATGGTTGTTATTATTATTATTATTCATTACTTGTTTTAATAATAATTACATTGTTACAATATTGTTCATAACCCAATGATTTTATGTTATGTTACAACTGTGGGTTATGACTAATATACTCTGGTCCTATCCTTCCGTGGAAAGTCTGCAGACACGGACAGACAGTGTGTAGTCTGCGTGGCGAGGGACTTTAATAGATAAATGTATAGAGAAAAGAAAATAATATTCTTGCTACGTACCATGGATTGATAATTTTGTATGTCGAAACTGTTGTGTTGTTTAATTTTGTGCTAAATTAGAAAGGAAATGTTGTCAAACCAGTGCGTCGCGGTACTACACAATATCAGTGTACACTGTACTTATTAGGTATTTATTGTTGCGTAACAGTTACAACTGGACAAATTTTATGGTCATTTTATTGCAGAATAACATAAATAACAGTAATTAACATAATAATAATATTTTCATTATCACAACCAATTATATCACAAGACCAATTGCTATCGGACTTATTTGGTTTCAGGTTTACCTAAATACATAATGTAATATTAAGTATTCGTATGTAAAATCAGTCAGTCAGTCAGTCGGGTTAATTAGTAATTTTAAATTATTTTATTAATACCTACTCCGATTGAAAGTTGTCAACCAACTTCGGCATTATTGTGTTTGTAGACGAACTAAGCGCAGCGCAAGCAGAGCACTACATTACCCACGTCGAAGCGTTTGGTCGTGTTTGGTACCTTTTCAACTTGGATTTGAAATAAACAACTGTTGTTTAGTTGAAATTATTTAGTCATTACTGATAAATTTAGCTAAC